AACTCAAATCACCCGATTAATTAATAAAACTTTTAGTATTACACTTTTAAGGCGAGACATAAAAAATTATGTGTGTATGAATGACTGACGCCAGTATAATATGGATGTATTATGTTACATACCCAGTAAGCTGCGGTGAAACCCGCGACACCAGAGGAGAGGTGGATGACAAAGCCACCAGAGTAATCAATAACGCCCATCTCAGCCAACCACCCATGGGGGTTCCAAATACTGTAACAAGTAATTGTATAAGAAAATGTCAACCAAAGGGGAACAAATAGCATCCACGCATGAAAGTTCATCCTCCCCAACAATGCCCCAGCAATCAAAATCAACGTGATCGCCGCAAACACGAACTGAAAATAGACCATGGTCGCGTTTGGCAAATACCCAACGAATGTTCGTTGCAGGAGGAACTCTTGTCCCATGGCCACGTTGGGCACGCCCAGGAAACTGAACAGCTCGATCCCAAATGACATTTGGTAGCCCCAACCGACCCAACAGACCAAGACCGCTGCGAAGGCATAAAGGGCCATGAAGGCCGAGTTCACGGCCCACTTCTTTTTTACTATGCTTCCGTAGAGGATGACAAGGCCCGGGACGCTTTGCATGCCGACAAGCGTGGCAGCTGTGAGCTGCCAAGCGTTGTCGCCTTTGCTCAACCACTCGGGGCTTGCCTCGTCAGGGCGGAGGTTCACGGGAAGCTCCATTATGATGAACTAACGAGTTTAGAGTTTAGAGTTTAGTGTGGGATGATAGAAAGTGAAGTGCAGCTTGAGTTTTGAATGGGATGGCAAGGTACACTTATATATAATTTGTGTGTATTGTGTGGCTTTGAAAATTCGGAGCTTTGCTGTAAAATGTCTGGACCATTTTAATTCTACGTGATTTGTTGTGATTAATGGATCTGAAAAAGCCGTCTTGTTTTGTAATTACTGGTACGTCCTGGTATATTTCTAATTTTCAGCTTGACTGCTACATATGCCGATGGTTAAAATTGTAAATTCGGCAGCTATTAAATTTAAAATTATGAAGATGAGATTCATGAGCATGGTTAGAAAAAGATTCAAAGATGTTTGATGTCTCGTCTTTTTATAATGACGGGGAATCCAACGGCTATAAGTTAAGGCACAGGAATTCCCGCCGAAATCCTCTGGCCAATGATTGATGTTTCCTAAGAAGGAATATAGTATTTAAATTAAAGTAATTAATTAACTAGTTAATCTATTCTTGAATCTTGAGTAGTGTTTGTACTCTTGTCTTGTGCATGACCAAAAAAGTAATCTATTTGCATATCTGAATCTCAACTAATTCCTAATTCTGTGCTAGTGCAAAGTCAATTCGCTAATAAGAAAGGGACTAGGCACCAACCAAACGGGGCCA